CGTCGAAACGCTGTGTTTCTCCTGCTGGAGAGAAAAAGGCTAAATTTTACGTTGACTATAATAATGTTGCCAGAAATTCTAGCTGACCTTTGGTGAATGTACTAACGATTGACGCTAAAATAAAAATTTTTTCGCTGCTGTGCTGTATTTAAACAGAATTTTAATCGATACTTCGTATAAAAAATAAATATCTGTAACTCTAAATAGCGGTTATAAAACCTGAGTGATTTTCTTTCCAAAGTAACAAACAAATTTCAAATCAATTTTTTCTTTTATTTTATTTAATATCTTATCTTCTACAGGAAAAAAAAGCTTACATTCTCTTTCTGTAATCATTTTGGTATGGTGGAAGTTTCTGAGATTGAGGCTATATGTCGTTCTCGTCACTTGATCGAGATCTCAAAACTGCAAGGTCCATCGCCAATCACATTGCTTTAGAGGGAAAAGGTTAACAAACAACTGGATCAAATTAAATCGCATTTATTTTCCTTAATAAAGTGTAGAAATCTCAAGCTAGATCTCCTTATATATATATATAAATGTTTTTCATGATGCTGTAATAAATTTTTGATATAGTGAAGATTAGCTGCAACAGATGGCTCCAGAGTATTTTTTTAAAAAATAATGAATTTATTCTTGGCTACGAATACTTTAGAACTACATAAGACATGTAAATTAATATTTTACAATTTTATAACAGCATAAAATGAAGAACAAATTGTAGGTATCATAGGGTTTGCCTTGGGGTCAGAGACTAGAAGAGGCTCCCTCCCTATTCCTGTATATTTAGGAAAATACTACATACAAAAATACAAATTTAAGATGGATTTTGGATTCTAGGGTTAGGTGGGGTAAAGTGTGCCCATATGGTAAAGTGGGGGTATATTGAAAAACACCTTTTATTCTCTTTTTAAATAAAGATATTAGGTTATTTCTTTTTCAGGGACATATATTGAGATTCTAGTAACTATTTTCATTTTAGTTTTAGAAGTTGGTAACAAGATTGATGTATATTAAGTTTCTTAATATACTGCTTGCAAAGGGTATGTTAGTTTAAGCTGCTGATGAACTTTTTTCTAAAATCAATATTAACTCGCAAAAACTACTAATTTTAGTCCAAACTTGTATAGAGTAATATCTAAACGCAGATCCACCTAAAAAGATAAGAATACATTTTATAATTCCCATTTATCATAATCGCTTTTTTTAGTGGGGTATGGGGTTAGACTTAGCTATGTTCTATGAAAGGGATATTTTTTTAATACCTCTGCGTTAACTTTTTCTTAGAAAAGTCTCTAATGCTCTATATTTTATAATAAAATGACTAAAACAATTAATTTTACTTAGTATTTATTCACTAACAGTAATTTTATACTGAAAAAATATTTTTTAAAAAATTTTACTTTCTAAAATTAGTTTAGAAGAGAGGAATGATAGAAAAATCAAATGCTATAAATAGGTGCTTGGGACAACACACTTTAAATTAATATTAACATTAATTTTACATTGCCTTTACACTAAATATGCCACGAAATTATTATGAAACCAGCATGCAGAATGGATTTAAAGGACTGTGACTTTATCCTCTGGAACAGAAAGGCCATCAGTATTCTCATTACAGAAAAAGGGAAACAACTCAAGAGGCATAGCACAAGAACAGATCCTTCCACAACCATTGCATCTTCTAAAGAGGGGTGTCCAACCTGAAGTGACCTTGCGGCCAATCTGAAAACATTATAATCTTCGCGGGCCGCACATAAAAATATAAAATTTTATATCAGATTTGGAAACAGAAAAACATTTATTGAGTGAAAATTTGTGTTTCAGAATGAATTATTATTATTGTTTTCATTATTTTCATGTATACAGACACATAGATAATATAGTAATGTTTATATATTATAATAATAAAATGATCAAATAATGTTTAAATATTACAGCCAAGTATTTCTTTGAAAAATTAAGGTGTTCCTATTGGAATTGATCTCTTTTCGTTACTTCATTGTTGAAATTTGATAGTGCTGTCATTCGCGCAAACGACAAGGGTATGCCTTTTATCTTAATCCGGTCCAAATATTTTTAAACTTTAAAAACATCTCTGACTGCCTCTTACTTTCGGGCACTCCAAACAAAAGGAGGGGAGAAAATGAAAGTCGCACACACAGAGAATCATGTGCCATCCACAGTAAAGGATATGCACCGGAATTTATTGAAAAAGTAATTACATAGAAAAAATCAACTGCAACTGTTTGATAAAATATAAAATTTGTATTTTAATCTAAAGGACATTTCTACTATCAAAGTGTTTATTTTAAAACAAGAATAGTAACAGGCATATACATTGTAGATTTATATATATATATATATATATATATATATATATATATATATATATATATATATATATATATATATATATATAATAATTCCCTCTAACATACTTTTACTAACTCTTTAATGATCTATAAATAATCTTTTTTTTAATTTTAGGTTTAAAAATAAACGCGTTGTAATCTTAATCGTAATTGCTGTCCGATTGCCGTAGCCCGCGCATTTAGCCAATCAGATGCCAAAAGGAAACGCCTATTCAACGTAATCTTTACCTTTGCTTGCCAATACGTAAGATTGTAAATACTTGCTGCTTTTTTTGTCTTTGTGTTGTGTCCTCAAAATGCCGCTGTCAGCTTCCTAATGTGAAAAATAGAATGTACTGTGTTTTAATCTGCTGATGCGTGCTCATAATAAAGCGAGTAAAAGCTATTCTGAAGACGTCATTACTAAATCAAAAGCTCGATAATCTCCCCACTCTGGGCTAACACTACTTCAATCTATTACATATATATATATATATATATATATAGTAGTATATATATATATATATATATATATATAGTATATATATATATAGTATATATATATATATATATATATATATAGTATATATATATATATATATATATATATATATATATATATATATATATATATATATATTAATTTTCCCAACAAATTTCCCTTCAAACTGAAAAAACTTAAAAACCTGATATTTAAAATTTTTAAAAAGTCGGCGGCCGCAATCATTTCTACTGGTGGGTCACACAGGCCCAAGGGCCGAAAGTGCTGGGACACCCCTGTTTTAAAGCACAGTAAAGCCGTCTCACTTAAAAGATTTAAAGAAGACAATAATAAAATCCTCTACCATCTGTAAATACAATTTTAGCCATTGAGAATTCAAAGAAAAAGGAAAAAAGAGTGCAGACAAGACTGGTGAGGTTTTAAATCAAAACGAAATGTTTTGGAAAGGTTGGCTGCTGAAGAAAGTGACCGTATAAACAAATTAACCAAGTAAAATAATATAAAGAATGATGTAAAAGATACAGAAAGTTTTAAAGAAGTAAAGCAAGGTCATGGGTAGAGGTTGAGTATCGGTCAAGAAGTCAATCATTTAAATTCATTGGACAAATGATAGAAATTAATGAGTTTTATCACACAAAATATCTGACCAAGTCACCATTGGGGGACTATTACACTTCTCCTGTGTTATTGATAATGAAGATTGTGTAGAGTTCAGTGATATATACCGCGTACTATGTAAACCTAATTTTGATAAATCGTTGACATTATTTCTTTAATTAATTAATATGCATAAAAATTTTGTTTTGTCCATTTGAATCACAATATAAGAAGATGCATTTATTTCAGTATATTCTTATTTCAAAAGAATATCTACATATTTTATTTAAATGTACTTCAATTTAGAGCTGGCCTCCATGGGGTAAACTGGGGCATCAAAACATGTTTCTTTCAATTGTATTCTGTGCGAAACCATCTAAAATTAAAAGGCTATGCTTCATAAGTTAATCTATATGAATCCAATGTGAGAGAAGGCATCAAAAGTTTCATTAAAAACAATTTAATAGTTTGATTTGGGACACTTCTCTAAAAAAAACTTGATTTTACCCCTAACCTGACCCTATATGGCTTATTGGATCGTTTGTTCGAATCTCAACTACCCCATGTTTCCATAAAGAAAAATTAGAGCATAATGCATGGCTTGCGAGTTCTCACGAAATGAATTTCAGAAGTGCTGGCTTAGCTCGTCCTGAGAGAGGGTCCTATCACACAAAATTCCTTGGGAATTCTTTTTATCGGAGCTCCTTATAATTTTAAAATTTTTTGCCTATCCATTTCGCCCTCTTTAAGATTTTTTTGTAAGGGGGCGGTATCATTGATAAGACATATTCGGTGGTATACGGTCCTGTTGAGAAGTGTGCGCAACGTTGTGTTATAAACCGTCTTCATCAATAAAACAAAAGGTTCTCTCCTGAGAGATAAAAATGCAGATTGTGTGGGTGTAAAAGAAAATTTCATGAAATAAAAGAGAATCAAACTGAAAATTAAAAACTTATGTCTATTCTAAAAAGTACAGATTATCTTAAATTTCAGGGGAAAGAGGAAGAGAAGAGAGAAAACAATACATGCCCCTACACATTATTAATTGACACTATGTGTATTAAAGTTGCACCAAAAACAACACACAAGCGACAAAAGCCAATCGACCGCCCAATTCTGACGAGGTTAATAGTCCCCCAATAAGTGAAGAGTACCGCACCTTAACTAGCACTCCAGCTTTCCAAAATTCCACACCACGCCAATGTAGATTTATCTCAACTCCTCGGAGTATCAATAATACTGCAATTTAATACTGATAAGTTAATTTTAGATCGTCTTTGTACTTTTGAAAAGTCCTCGAGAAATAAGCCAGAGTGAATAACGGACATCATATGTACGTTTGATTACTCTTCAGCTTCGTTCGTCAATAACTTTCTTCGAAAGTGTATTTATTTCCTTTGTCCATTCATTTTTTTAACTGTAATATTTCGATCAAGAAATAATAATAAAAAAAAAAAATATGTGAAAGTAAACTCAATATTTAAAATTTAAAAAAAAAATGTCAACAAATTTTGAGAATTTTCTTTAGTTGCTTGGCGACAGGCGTCGGTAGCGTGGCTTCGAGTGGTTCAAGGCGCTGGTTTTAGGCACCAGTTTTCTGGAGAGGCGTGGGTTCGAATCCCACCGCTGCTGCTGTCTTTTTCTATAAATGTTTGTATCTTAAAATCAATTGAGCGATTATTTAGTTATTTCAGAGTTATACTACAACAGAGAAAAGTAATTATTTTTTGCTGAAGTACAAATTAACGTTAGTTAAGATAAGTTGTGCACAGTTAATTATAATTTGAATAAAAATGGAAGCATTTTTGATTTTTCGATGCAATTGATAGGGAACATAGCAGTAAAAAATTGTTCAATATATTCCATTTTAATTGAAAATTAATTGATTAAAACTATTATTTAACCTAAATAAGAGTATTTCATTTTTTTTTTTTCTTCTCTTTTATACTTTTTGGTTAATTTCATAATTCAAAAAAGCTGCAAAATTATTCTGAAATGCCCTAGAATAACTGACAATAAATTTATAAATAAATTATTGTTCCAGTTTTCTTTATTTTATTTATTTCAACGCATAGTTTAAAGTTGAAACCATTGATTCAATAATTTTTCCTTCCAAGAAGACAATTACTTACGTTAATAAATAACTTCAAAATAATTTTTCCATTAATTTTAAAATTTTGACATTTATGAAAATCACTCCAGTTTTTAAACATATTTTTAATTTTAGACTCTGTTTATTTTCACTCTTCAATTTTTTTTTTGAAATGTAAAAATGAGATTTGATAAATAAAACAAAAAATGTAATAATTTTCAAAAAAATTGTCCCATTTCCAATACACAAATAAAATTTCTCAATTTGTTGCCCCTAGTATTATCTAGTGACTAAATTGTTATGTTCATAAATTTAAAAGAAATGGCAGTGAGAAAGATTAACCCAGTCGCGTTTTGTAAAATGTACAGCATTTTTTTAAAAAAAATTACGTTAAATGCAGATAGATCAAGAAAAATTACGCAAATCCGCATTACGTAATTATACAAAAAATTAAATAAGAGGGTTAATAGAAAGTTAAATTTGCGGAAAAGATTGTTCACTTGAGTTTGGCAATTTTTTTTTCTTTCTCTTTTTTCGAAAATTTTTTCATGTTCTGCTGTATTATAAAGACGAAAAAAAAATTCACTATTAATTGTTTGAATGTTATAAAAAGTAAATTCACATTTTTAGTGACTATACTTAAACTCATCAAAAAAATAATTTATACTCAAATTTTGATATCAGCGTATTTCTGAAATATACTCAAATTTTGATATCAGCGTATTTCTGCACTATAACCTTTTAGATACTTATTATAAATAATCATTATTAGAAAAATCAACTGAAACTGTTGTAAACATGGACCAAAAAAATATGTATTTGATAAACACACACTTAAAAATATTCAGATGATTAAAAAAGTATTTTATTAACGATTGAAAATTTGAACAAGAGATATAAATAAATATATATAGGAAGAGTGTGAACTAATAGTAAAAAATGTGAAAAAGAAATTGTATTTTGACGAGTTAAAAGTAAAAAAAAAACAGCTTTTATTATTGTATTCATTCAGTTCCAACTATTATGTTTCACTCTCTCTATATATATATCTTGTATAAAATTTTCAATTGTTTATAAAATACTTTTTATTTATCCACTCAAGTTCAAACACGTTTTTTTAATCTTGCAGTGGATGACACTTGATGTTAATACAGTTTTTTTTTTCAATTATTAATTCATTAATGAAAAATTTAATTAACTAAAATAAAAATTTTCTTGGTTCACCTAATTCTCCTATTTCAGATCTCTCTCTCAGCTGTCTTCGCCAAATGTAAAATATCCTGAACTTAACACGGAGCATATTGTTAGACAGGAAAAATACTTAATTTTCATGAAAATTTGTGCAGTTATAACTCATACATCTGTTTATAAAACAGCGTTTTAAATTTTTTTCCCCAAAACTTTCCCGAAAAACAAAATTTTCTTTTTTGAAAAAGGACGCTAGCCCCAAAGATTACGGAATAGGAGAAAAAAAGGCGACACATTTTCAACCCGAAAGATAGATCAACTGAGAAAAGGGCAGTATGATAAAATATGCTGTTTTCTATAGGAAGCCAAAAAATACTGATGCTGGAGTATTTTTAAATTGGAAAAATATTCCGAATGCAGGTCCTATTCATTAACATTACGCGAAGCCAGCCTTGACGACTCTTAGAATTATTATATTAAACAATAGAAAATTTTGTCTTCTGTAACCACTTAATTAAATATTCTATAGACACTGATTTCATTTTCCTGGTATAACTGCGGGGAAAAAAGCAACTTTTTTAAAATCCCCTTAAAAAATGACTTTGTTCAGAAGAGTTGATCTGGCTTCAGTGAAAGGTTTAAATTTTAATGAATTGATAATTTTCTTACACTTTGATTTGGTGAAAATTAAATAGAAAACCCACAATTAGAATTATATGTCCTTTTTCTCTCTACTTTTCCCTACAAATTTCTCCGATACTGACTCTTTAAAACCCAAATGATTCAGTAGTATTGTTACCATTGCTCGTTTTGCTTTTTAAACTTGGAAAGTTACTTCCTTAAACGCCCCAAAAGGGTTATCACTTCAATAATGCCGGTAATTTTTGTTTAAAATTTTTTTCGAAAATTTTTTTTAAAATAATGATGTTTCATTTTTGCATTGTTCTTTAGAATACAGTGAAACATAAAGGTTTATATTTAGATTTTGGGACTGTGGCAAATTTTAAATGATACAATGACTAATTTCTCACTTCGATTTAAGTGATAATAAAAGTATATGCCTTTACATACAATTGTTTAAAAGCAAATATATTTTATTAAAGGCCCTCATTAATAACGCCTTTAATAAATATAAATCAAATAATGCATTTAATTAATACACTAATAAATATGATAATAAAAGTGAATGCTTTTTACAATTCTTTAAAAACAAATGTTTTATTAAATACATTATTAATGCATTTAGTTATTAGATTATTAAATGTATAATAAAAGTGAATACTTTTACAATTATTTTCTAAAAACAAATGTTTTATTAAAATGCATTGGCATCTCTACTCAAAATATTTGAAATATAATGCAATAATAATGAAATAAAAGTTTTACAATATAATCCTAAAATTGTCCAGTTTTAGTGACTAAAATGCGTTATTTCCATTTACCCCAAAACAATTTTTAGTTATGTAAGGTTGTTAAGGGTTTCCTGCATTTTGTACTTTTACAATAAACCGAGAAGATGTGTGTGTGTGTGTGTGATTCTGCTCTTTTAAAAACAAACTATCACTCGCTTCCGATGATTTTTAGAGTGAATGAATCGAGAGTGGCTGAATTGAGTATGATTGGAAATAATTTTCTATAGAATAGTTATATCTTTAATGAAAATTTTATTTAGGAGTAATGCAATTTTTTATCAAAAATATTTATTCTTGTTCAATTTGAGGAAGAGTGGATACAATAGACTTATGAAAAATAAAATATGACACATACACTTGTGATTCCAAAGTACGTTGAAAAACAGCGTCAATAACAGTACCACTGTTAGCTGTCGAAATATTTCGATTTGTATTCATTTCGAGCTTTAGTTTGTGACATCTCTCGTGTTCTTCTTCTAACATAACTCATACGTTCTTTGACGGCCACGATTAATGGCAAAACTTTTCCAACCCAATTCCAAGAGGAAAAACGAAGCAACAATGCAAATAAGATAACCTTTAAAAGGATAGAAAGTTTAGTGAGCAAGGATGGCAATCTTAGAGAAAGCTTAGTGTGGAACTGTTGGAAGTGAGTTTAGACGGCCTACTCAGGAACCACGGAGACGCCCACCCTCGCTAATATTTACAAGGAGCAACTATTGCACACGAGCACATAAATCTACCTGAACGTATCAGTATCGTTGAGCCTTCAACCAAGGTAGGAGGATTATATTCTGAACGCTAGTAAATTATTGAATTGAGATTAGGAGGATCTAATTAGTTATATTGATAAGTGATCTAATTGCGTGATCTGACTTAGTTAAACGGCCGTACTTTGGTTTATTCTCACTTAATATAAGTTTGTTCGTTATATAAGTAATTTAAGTTAAATTCTTAATAAAAGTCGTATTAAGAATTATAGAATGTCTCATATCCTTCCGATAATCCCACGCTTGTAACTTACGCGGAACCCCCAAGACATAGCTATCGACAGATGGCTATGTCACAAGTTTATCAGTCAAAAAAGCTATGAGCGGCTCAGCTTCTGGCAAACTGAAGTTAACGTTGAAATCACCACTCAAAATCATAGGAACCGAGTGATTGTTTTTAAAAGAGCAGAACCACACACACACACACACACACACACACACATTTCTCTCTCTCGGTATATCTTAAAAGTATAAAATGCAGGAAATCTTTAATTTTTTGGACCGTTTGATTCGGAAAATGTATATGGCCACCGAAATCACTGTTTGTCCATTTTCAAATATGCATTCTGTCGCCCATATGTCCCCAATATCTTGACTAGCAATACCTAGTCCACTTTGACGATAAATAATGTCCATGTGAGGGGTCACAACATGTGAGTTGTTCTGTTTGAG